GATTTCCCCCCGGGTTTTCCCGTTTTTTTAATTTAAATGTAATATTATGGTCTGTCAACTAAACTAATACAGTTATGTGAACTTTTAGTTTTTTCAGAATACAGGGTTTTCTCCGGGTGTTTCCGGTTTTTCCCACATTACGCAGCAAAGTAAAAAACATATATATTGTAATTTAATGTTCTGCTTATGTCTCTGTGATTGGCCGTCAGAGCTGTGAATATGCAACACAGTCTGTTTCAACCAATTCAAAGTGTTTGTAGGAAATACAAAGAAAAAGTGTGTCCTGTGAGAAAGTCATTCTAGTCATTGAGTCACTTTTAAACATTTAAAGAAGAGCTGATTGTTGTCAGAGCTGAAGTTATGCTCACATATTTAAAATCAAGGTAAAATAGAGGTACATCAATATTTAATATAGAATAAATGTGAGTGTTTGAAAAAGGTGAATATTCGACAGAATAAGGATACAAAGGAATTTGTATCGTAGGGGAAGATCGACAGCAACAAGGCTTTCAGTATTTTTCTCCTAAAAAAGTGGAAATCTGAAAACCAGTGATCCCAGAAATCTTCCTTCTTACTGAAAACAATTACAGAATAATAATAATGGTTATTTAACCTCTGTTTGTCAATTTGTATCCCAAAAATCAGCAATTGTTTCTATGACGCTCACCATATCAATGCACATGAGTTAAAAATATCGTTAACATTCCTTTTTTAAATAAACATAAACAGTAAATACATGCATGTCTACAGCAGACATGGCATGACAGTAATAATACTATTTAAAAGACCAACTTACAACTATAACAAAATAATATAAACATTGGATATACTATAGTTTAAAAAAAAGTGGGTGCAATCTGAAATAAAAAAACAATAAATTAGAGTTTTTGGGTCATCTAGAGCAGCATTGTCTCAAATCTAAAGAGGCATCTTCATGTTATTCAGTTAAACTGCTCTCTTTTACATGAGGCGCTGCTGGGATTTGAACCCAGGACCTCCTGCTTACTAAACAGGCACTTTGACCAACTAAGCCACAGCACCTGCATTAATGCTCCTAATATTGAAGATCTGATCATATTTTGAAAACGTGTGTGGACTGAGATGAGGAAGTTAATGACAGCACACTGCAAAAACTTGAAATCTGGCCAAGTGTAATTGTCTAATTTCTTGTCAGATATGTCTTTACACTTAAGACATACTCAGGATTAGAAGCAGGTTTATAGCCAAGTCGGTTTACACATATGAGGACTTTGGCTTGGTTAACTTAAGGGATAATAATGCAGTGAAATAAAGGGAAGGCTTCTCAATTCTCTAATTTCCCCTCCTCGACTCCTCGGTCCTCCGGTAGTGACCCGGAAATGGATTTCAGCGCGCAATGTTGAAGGACATCTTATTTCTCTAAATGCACATCAAGGACCGAGGGTGTTTCACAATGTCGAGGAAGGCTGCTCCAGAGCCACTATTTCAAGCATACTACGTCATCGAGTGCCGCCGAAGGACTGTTCCAATGCCCAGCATACTTGGAATTCTACCGAGGCCTGCATACTTCGTAGCGAGAAATTTCGAGGCTGCACATGTGTAGACTCCGTGGTCTTAAAATCCCCACAATGCTTTGGCGGAAATCGCGCTCCATTTAAGGCGGGGCCTCGCATATGACGCACACCTGCACACCTGTTAGCCTGTTCCACAATTTTTCGATTTCCGAGGCTAGGAAGGATTCTTGCCTCGCTTCTGAAGCAAGTGACTTGGAAAACATGTGCTACCAAGCAAGCCTCCTTGACATTGAGAAACACCCCGAGCATCGAGCATCGAGGAGGCTCTCTAGAGGAGCTATAATCGAGGATACACTGATGGTTCCTCCACGGCTCCTCCGCGGATGTATTTCCGGCAACAGTGATGTTTCAAAGAGACGTGACGCACGGCCCGACTTATCTCAGCCAATGACAGCTCTGCATGCATCCCCTGGATATTATTTTATTAACTGCTTTCATAGAGAACCGCAGTGACGCGTCGTAAAACCCGGAAGTAAGTTAGCATTTTTGGCACTTCCGGTTCCTTCCTCAAAAAGCAATACATTTTTTCCATAGGGTTTTGGAAAATAGCTCGAAATAAGGTCTGTGGTTGACACAAATTTAAGAGGTAATTGACGTTTTGTTCTACGACATTAAATACATCAGCAGTGACCCCACTGGGGATTTTTGAAAAGTTTACGTGTCTGAAAAACGATGGTTGTTACCGAATGGCTGAATAGGACTACAGAAATTGTCGAGGCCGTTGTACGTCATTACGCCGAACACGTAAACACTCCCGCTACGTTTGTTTTCCCCTGTGTTCTGCTTAAAAGCAAGTACCTGCCTATCTTTAGTATCTGTATATCTATATCTGACCATTAGAATCTGTATTTTTGAAATTGTCGTTTTTAACACCGTCGGTGTTAAAAACGACAATTTCAAAAATACAGATTCTAATGGTCAGATATAGATATACAGATACTAAAGATAGGCAGGTACTTGCTTTTAAGCAGAACANAGCCGCTGCATTCTGGATGAGCTGCATCAGGCAGGATTTCACTTGATGAATATGTGTCTGTGCAGTGTAATTGATTAAAGTGAATGAAGTCAAGTCTCTTTGCAGTCTGATATTTACTTTTGAAGCTGAGACTGTTCAGTAGAGGTGCAGACAGATGGCATCATGTGTCCAGCGACCACCAGCACATGGTACAGTTTTGACCTGCTGAGCCACTCTACCGAGTTTTCATCAGGGGGGGTGGGCTGTACCACCACAAAAAACATTTATAGGGGTGTCAGGGCAGAGCTGCAGCAGCTGAGGCCCGGTCTGACTCAGGTTAGCTGTCCTTACATGTGTTGATAAGTCGCCACAACTGTGGTGCTATTTAAAGCCGCCCCTTGTTGTCCCTGATGCCCCGCAGGACTCAGAACAGAGGAGGACGGAGCCCCTTTAGCCCGAGAGTTCAGAGAACAGACCCCCACACAATGCATGCCTTAATCTGAGCAGGAAGTGTACAGATGACAGGGGGGAACGAGCCCCTTCAAAACAATCACAAGTCCATACGGTGCAGATAGGTACACCAATTTCATGTTTAATGTTCATATTTAACTTTCAAAAGGCTTTGTTAAGGATTGTTAGAAATCAGAGAGTCAAACACATTTCAAATACAACAACACATAGTAGAAGTTCATGCTATCTTACACTTACGTTGGCAGTCTATCTATTTATTTTGTTCAGATTTGTTGAATTGTGTGCATAAGGATGTGTAACTTTTTGCAAGTGATGAACTTGCAGTTGTCTTCAAGTTATTTCAACAAATTAATCCCAAATCTTTCCCATTTCTTTCTCTTCCAATCCTGCTCTGGCTCTCAGATTTCACAGCACAGTATTAGCCAAAGCTTCGGCCCTCTTGTTGGGGGGGTTTCCCAAAGCCTCACCACATCCAACTGAACATAGCATTTCTGACATTTGTAACCCTCACTGTTTATCTTGACATTCACCTTTAACCATTTAACCATTCTTAAGCAAATCATGTAATACATTGTGCAAAACAAGGTTTTAAGTATAAAGCAAATTATTATTTAGGCAGTGATGAAAAGTATCTGACAGCCTGATCAGAGAGGAGGTGTGCCACTTCTCAAATACATCTCTATAACATTCCTTGAATACTTGAATGGGGACTTTACCATGGATGTACTTGGTGGGTTTCTCTGCATGCAGCCTTTTGGCCAGTGAGTCAGCAGCTGTGCACGGAGCCATTAGAGCAGACAAAATGTGTCTGCTGCAGACTTTCTATTTACATCCACCCTGTTTTAGAGAACTGCTTTCTCATAGTTCAAGTGAAGACTTAACCATCATAACTCTGAATAATGCTGGGGGCCTATATGTTTTAAATGTGTGATATGTAGGGATTTACTCTGGATGACTAGATGGGCCAATATAAAAAAAAAGGTCAAGCAGGTCTCCCTCTTAACTGATAAGTTGGGCATTCTGGCTCAAACAGGCCAACATAATGATAATGTCTGTCTGCATTTAGATTGTATCCCAAAGAGACCTGAGGAGAAGAGTGTCCAGTTTCTCTTGAGCCAGACAATTCAGAATTTATTTTCTTGATAATACCTTCCTCGTGGAGTGAGATTTTTTATGGCAAGGCAAGTTTATTTATAATGCACCTTTCAACACAAGGCAATTCAAAGTGCTTTACAAAAATGAAAGACATTAAGAAATTGGCATTTAAAAAAAGTATTAAAAAGCAAAGATAATAAAATAAACATTACAAAATATATAAACAAGTATAAAAGTTACAGTGTGAGATATGAATAGTTCAATTAAAAGCAGCGGCAAAAAGAAAAGTCTTCAGCCTTCAGATTTTATTAAGATGAAAAATAAATCAGACACACTTATAAAAAACATATTTGAAACATAAATATAAAAAAGGAAATGGAACAGGGAAATGATTAACGGAAGCATAGGTAAGTTATAAACAACATGTGACACTTGTTTCTACACAAAACTATTATTCTAAATTAATCTTTTGCAACTCAACAACAAACCAATGGAAGTATTGTGATCACTGTAAACATTCTGAGCCGTAATTGTTTTTATAGCTTACACTTACAGTACAAACACACTTTCAAAATCTGCATTATGAAAATATTAAAGCAATATCACAGAAAATAAACATTCTCAGTACATTATAAACTCATTTACCAGCAACCATGGATAACATTCAGTGATTCTATACGATAAATTAACCATTAAAACACAATAAGAGGACCGATAATTCTTCGTACAAGATTGCTAGAGATTTTCAGAGTCAATTATTCACAGTATTTATGCAGCTGCGAGTGACTGAAATGATATGGACCAGGCCGTGTGTGTGTGCGCGTTCACGAGGCAACAGCTGAAACTTCCAGCAGGCGTGCGCGGCATGCAGGATCCGGTAGAAAGTAACGGTACTTTTATGGAAACTGCTCGCGGACACGCTGACAGCAGCCAGTGGAGTGTGTGCACGCGGTGGTCGCATCTCGGATTGTCCTGCGTTTTTACTTCGTGTGGTTTATATCGACACAAAGGATTTCAAGGAAAATTCAAACACAGGAGGACGACAGCAATCTAAAGAGGTAAACTCCCATGTTTTACAAATGTAATAAAAACTTGGTTTGAAAACGATAAAATAATCTGTTCATCATGATGAGCAAGGTCAAATATATTAGTCAATTAAAAAAGTTTCCTTTTAATGGATCATCATAGACTACATCCTAATTAAGTCAGATACATCAGGTAACCTCTTGTTGTCAATCAACATGTGTTTGTTAGTTTAGAAACAGTTACAACTCATGTCCACAATATGTGATCAGGCATTCATAAACAGACAATAAATGCATCTGATAAACAGGTTTAGCTATAATAAGTTAACACATTACTCAGACTGTATATTTCTCAAACTATTGTCTGGCTCAAATTTACACTGTGCCAGCTGAGTACATAAATAGAACATCACCCCCCATACCATAAAGTGTGTCCTTTACCTGGATTTTCTTGAAGTTTAGTGTTGATTTATGTGACATTGTGTCAGTCAAATATTGGAACAAAAATATTTATGAGACAGTCTATTTTTGTTTTGGTTTATATATGTTTTTGTAGATAGACATAACTAACATTGACCTATATGTATAATCCCAATCTAAATCATACCGTCTTGAGTCTGAAATGTGTGCACAAGCAGTTTGAAAATGGCAGGTGAGAATCTGAAACTGATTTTGTTTTTTGTTTCCATCAGTCTCTCAACATTTACCTTCTTCTTACTGCTGGGATTAGGAGATCAGAGCAACTAAAAATGACCATGATTAATAAGAAACCTTTCAAACTGAACATTTAGCAAACGAGGAATATGAAATTAGATGTACTGGTTAAGATACACATTTGCATTTATACTCATTCTAAAAGCTCTGTCCCATTGGTGAAACAATACACATGCACTTCTTTCCTCTGTGCTTAACCTAAATGAAAGTAACGTGATATTAATATACAAAATAATGTTGTAAAGCTTGTTAGAAGACTTTTGAGTCACAATGGGGTGGACTTTTTAAGTTGATCACACACATGTTGAGTTAGAAATGAAAAAAATCAACGTGATATGGGAAATATGAGCCAAACTAAGGCACATAATTCTATACTTCCACTTATATTCCATTCAAGACTCAAATCATGACACACTATCATCGTCATACATTAATACAAAAGGTATTTGAGGACACAGATGAATGGAAACAGTTTTTAGTGTTGATGACTAACGGCCCAAACAGCTCTGGTTCATCCAGTTGTCTCTTTGTCTGGCCGTTTATCGAGGGTCTGTGGGGCGACATGTGGGTGCCACCTTGAGCTCTGTCCAACTGACTATCACTCTTCAGAAATAGCCATGATCACATGTCCTGGACCCAAAAGTGGGCTATAAATAGAGGTCAAGCTTCTATCGCACTCTTTCTCAACATACTGGGAAGTGGAGCAGCTTTCTTTGCCCCTAACTTTGTAGTCAATAAGTGCCTGTTGCACATTTAAATTCAGGCACTTGGAAAATAATATTACCGAACTATGAATTCATTTGAAAGTAAGCTCTGGACTTTAAAATGGCTGTAAACAACCTAAAGCAGCCTCAATAAAAAACAAAACCTTGTAGAGCTAAAAAGGTTAACTTGACAAAAATAATATGGATCACTGCAAAACGTTCAAAATGAGCAATTGAATCAATAAAGTTGTCACACATTTAAAAAAAAAAGAATATATTTCTGCCATCCTTTCTTCCATCTTGAATGGTGCAAAAACGAAGGCACTGACGACAAATGTAGGTGGAAGCCAATTCATGCTCTTGGTATATCCGCAATGAAATAATAAGCGCAAAGTGTATTAGCCAGCATATTTTACATTTGAAGTTTTTGTTGTATTTTTTTGTATTTTTGCAAAGTGCATGAAAAAATGTATTTAAGAAGACATACATCTGATCATATTGATATTTCTGAGGAACACTTGTGTAGAGCAGATTGCCAATGAATCACTTGTACATAAGGTTTGTGCATTCACTCTCTTTTTCTGCCCTGCAGGTAACATTTGAACAGTCTGTTTGTCAACTTGTCCTTGTGGTAAAACATGACTGAGGTGGCGCAGTTCGCGGCTGTGGAAGGCCACGACATGGATGATGTCATAAATGAAAGTGAACTCAACACGAGCGATGCAGAAAACAAGGAAGCTGATACAACACATGAGGAAGATGACTTGGTGGTTGATGAAGAAGCGGTGGGTGATGAGGACGTGGTAGTTGATGAAGAAGCGGTGGGTGATGAGGACGCGGTGGGTGATAAAGATGGTGCATCCGAGGAGAAAAATGAGGAGACATCGCTCACAGAAGAAAAAGAGCATGACAACATGAATGATGAAGAAATAAATGAGACAGATAAGACACATATAAACGGTGTGGATCACAACGAAAACCACACAGCTGAGGAGAAGGATGAAAGTTCAGAAGCTGTCAATGGAGTAAAACAGGACACAGAGACGAAGGAGGGTGAAGAGTCTGACACAAATGAAGGCCAGGTTACTTCTGAACTGGCACTTAAAAAACAGGTGAGGGAGGAGTTTAGGAATCATTAAGATTGATTTTCAATGATGTGATTATTGTCATATAGATTACCTTTCACACAGATTTAAGTAATTGTATCTTTCCTCTCAACTGATAAATCACAGAGACTCCTCCGATCCAGAAAGCCTGTGGCAAGAACCTATGTGCCGAACCCTAACAAAGAAAAGGGGGAAGTCACGGGCAAATTTGAGGCCATGCAGAAGGCCAGGGAGGAGCGCAGCAGGAAGAGGAACAAGGACGAGCAGCAGAAGAGGAAGGATCAATACGTCAAGGAGAGAGCGTGGAGCGTCAGGAAGCAGCAGGTCAAAGACAGATAACCCCACTAACCTCCAACCGTGACCTGCATGGCATGATGAGGCATGACGGGGTGACAAGGCTGCCAGTTTGAGTGAGAACTTACTGATACATCACCGCGCACTGTTTCATAGAATTAACCAATTCATAATTACGGTGTCATGTTTATTCAACTTTGATTTGTGCTTGAATTCAAAAAGGTAATATAATATTTGAATTTTATTCATGCCTAATAATGTGCACAACAACTACTAAAGGACTGATTCTGCCCAATTCTAAATGCATGTTGTGCCACATCGTTAAGCTAGTTGACATTCATTTTAAGTTAATTTACTTCCCCAATTTTACACATAACAAATATAAAAGGTGCGAAACGGTAAAAGCATTGGTAAATGAGAACTGAAACAATCAGTTGATGAATCACATTGTCAAATGACACAAACTGAAAGGGAACTTTTCTAAGTGGACTAAAATGTGTCAAGTTGCATTGTGGGTAATATAAACTGCAGGTTATGGCAAGAGAGGATGATGCGTAAAGTTCTGCCGTCTCAATGTTGCTCCTTTTTCTTTATTACCTGCCCCTCTTCAGGGACAATTTAAATAGAAAACATCATATGTCTAGTGTCAGGTTCTCAAATGTAATGGCTTTTCCCTGTTTTATTTTTTAATTGACAGCTTTATATTTTTGAGTTTGGACTGCTGGTTGAACAAAGCACAACATTTAAAGATCTGATTATAATCTGGCATTTTATGGACTATTGCTTTATCAACTAATCGTTAAACAATAGAAAGATTTGTAAATTATATAAAATAAAAAATGGTTGGAACTCTGGTCTAAAATGATACACAATGTATTTTTTATTTTAACTCATATTTAGCCATTCAAATTGTTTTTTTTTAAATGTCATCAGAATAAACAGAAATTCATTAGGAAATATTTTAGAGATTGGGAAGAATGTGTGAAAATGAAAGTCGAATTTCAGAGATTAATTCTAGGTAAAGACAGTTAGTCTAAGATCGACTGTGGTGAAACAAACAGTGATCTGGTGTTACGAGTGGATTACCAGACAGAAAAACCTTCCTGTGTGCAAATGTGCCATAGCTGGTCTGGCTTGGGCTCCTCTGCTCATCTCCTGCTGGTGCAACAACACCAAGGACCAATCAGAGGCCAACCTGCAGGTCACATGGCGCGGTTATTAGCAGGGATTAGGCTCTTGTTCTTGCTGGGACCAGCATGGCACCTGAGGTTGCAAAGCAGATGATCCCAGCTAAACCGTAACGTTCCACAACTCTTTATCTGATCCGCCAACAGATAAAAGAACTGCTCGCTTCCAGTGATGAGGAAGAGGAGGTGAAGCCAGTAAAGGTAGAAAAATCCTACGTCCCCAAAATCACAGGTAAGACAGAGAAAGGGAAGGATAATCAGGGAGGAATTAAGGAGGAAGATGAGGCTGAAGGATTGTGTTGTGCTCTGTGTAATCCTCAGGTAGTGTGAAGGGGAAGTTTGCAGTCATGGAAAAACAAAGACAAGAGGAAGAAAAGAAGAGGATGGAAGGAGAGAGGAATAAGAGGGAAGCCCAGGACAACAAAGAAAAAGCCAAAATAAAGAAAGAACTGGCTAAGAAAGCAGCTGCGGTGAGTAGACCTGGCCTGAATTCCTTGACCTGCTGGGAAGTTGGACAACATCTCACACTGCCTTACAGATGAAAATAGTGTATTTGTATCTTTAATGATTCAGGTAATCCTCAGCTGCCACTCAGGTGAACTATTTTAACTTAGCTCTTGAGATCTAAACAGTTGGTGGAGCCCGGATATAGGTCTTAAAACATTAGTAGCAATGTTGACATGAGCAGCTTGCTAACTTGTGGCAAATGGATTATGTTCATTATTATATCTTACTGTGTAAGTCTTGCAGTGAAAAGGATTTGATGTGGCTCAAATTAATAGTTCCAATGAGTCCAGAACAGATAAGACTTAACTACTTAACTACTATACCTTTAGGCAGTGTGGTTCCTGGGAATGGTTACGTAATATCATTGTGCCAGAAAGGCTATTACAGGCAACCAACGACTACTTCTTTGCTTTAATGCTACCCAGTACAGCTATAATAAGGCTATATACGTTTAAGGGCTGTGCAAAAACCTGTTGTAGCACTGTAGATTTGATTTGGCTTTTTGTTTTGAATATGTTTGAACTACACTGTCTTTATAATCATCATCAGTAATGGCAGGAGCCATAGGTACTAACTGAGGATACCGTTTCAGGATTTAAACCAAAAACGTTTAGACATTATTAGAGCTGGTCTTGTTTACCAAGAGGACGTATTTCTACACCAGACAGGAAAAGATTTTGATACAACAGTTAAACCATCATGTTGGGAAATACATGTAAGCTTCAATGGGTCTGTCATTTTGTATTCATTTACTTGAATGTTTTTTTGTAAAGGACTATATAACAATTATTGGGGTTATATCAGGTCTCCTAAAAGAAACAATTGTTGACTTTAAGAAGATTTGTTCTGCTCCATTTCAATAAAACTATCAGAAAATATACTTGAGAAGCTCATTTGAATAAATTATAATAATCCAAGAAATTAGAGATTTCGTTTTGAGGGTTTTGGAAGTGATTAGGGCTTTTGGCTATGGTCCTAGTAATGCTGCAGACAAAATAATGAAGTGTTTCCTCCAATGTCAACGTAACTTATTTTTTATGGGTGACTCGTTTACAAACTAGAAAGCTTTTTGTGCAATATTTCTTATATCTATTATTCACAGCAAATGACACCTCAAATCTTTAGGTTTCTGCATTAGTGTGATGTAGTAATGGGTTATGTCTCATGATTAAAATGATCCTGTTTAAGGAAGCACTGACTTTATGTTCTAGAAACAACTGGAACAGCAGTGCTGTCAGATGTAGACAGCAAATGACTGGCAACTGTTTCCCACACCTCCCAGTGACCAAAGTAGCTCTAGACCTCCTTACTGTGACTAAATTAGACCCTGCTATCTTAGACTGACACCCAAACCCTGAACTACTGAAAATGGCGACATTAGGCCAATAGAGTTCCCCCCTACCCACCCACATGCTTTAACTCCCAGCCTGTGTGTGTGTAAGCATTGAGATGTACCTGAATGTGTTTTTTGAAAAGGTAATCTGATCCATTAAGTATCCATATGTCAAAGAATCTCTATAACAAGTAAGCAACTGTTTGTCATGCGTTTAAATCCCTACCTAAGTAGAAGCATTATCAGCAAAATGTACATAAAAAGTAGTACTCCTTTTGCTTAGTAAAAAGTAGCATACAGTCAAATGGAAATATTCAAGTACAAGGACATCAATTCAATTTCTTAGTAGCTTTCCACTACTCTAAACTAAACTCTTTCCAATTACTATTTTTAATCATTCATATAAACTGGCAAATGTGAAACTTGTGTGTGTGTGACTTACTTACTGTGCTTTGGTAATAACTCCCACATTATCAAACACCTTTTAGGAAGGAGATGACTCAATCCTGGTACGAGTGGTTCCAGGGAAGGTATCTCGACCTCCGGGCAGAATCAAGACGAACTTTGAAGACATGGAGAAGAATCGAGAGGAGGAAATAACAAAGAAGGCAGAGGAAGAGAAGAAAAAACGTTACGATGAAAACAAACGCTCCTTCAGGGATGCCAAGCGGTGCTCGGTTGTTGAGCAGGTAGGAATATGAACAATATCTCTTTTTAAATAAAACAACTTCAGTGATTGTGGAACACATTTTAAAAAAGACTCACTTTTATGGGGATTGAGGATGAAGAAGAGAAGCCTTCAGAGAGGGCGCAGGTTGTTCCTGGAAAGCTGAAGATGACATTTGAGGAGCTGGAGAAGGACAGGCAGGAGCACAGGAAGAAGACGGCCGGGGAGGAAGCCAAGCGCCGCCTGATAGATGAGAAGAAAGGTTTCGAAGAGGCCAGGCTGGGAATGGTAAACAAAACGACTGAATAGAATTGTTATTTCTATGTTTAGCTGTACATGTTCCTTGTATCCAGATTCTAACAAGCAGCATAATCAAACATTATAATTTCTGTGATGATAAACACAAGTGTGGGTTTACACCTCACACACTTCCAAATATGCATGTGTTTTACCCTATAGTAAATCTTTAGATATGAATTGTTAATATAAATGCTTTTACATGTTTGCTTGTTATCAGGGAGAAGATGGAGAGGACACTCAGGCAGCGCAGGACGACAAGGAGGAGCACCGGCCTGGAAAACTGAGGTTGAGCTTTGAAGAAGTGGAAAGGCAGAGAGTAGAGGAAGAACGCAAGAAAGCAGAGGAGGAGTACAAGAGACGAATGGAGGAGGAGAGAAGAGCTTTCGCTGAAGCCAGGAAGAGCATGGTCAGTATGCTTCCCAGAGATAAATATAAAATTCAGTATGAAAAAGGTCTTGGACGATGAAAGTTGCCACACAGTCCATTTTGAAAACATCTGATGCTAATATCATCCAAACAAACTGTTCCCCAGATCGGATATCATTTTAAATGAACTGTCACACGTTTAGGGCAAAAATACCTACTGGCTTTTTGAGTAATCTGAGAAGATTCATAACACTTTTACATCTGTAAGCTAAATATATGGCAGCAGCCAGAACACTTAGCTTAGCATAAAGACTGGAAACAGGGGGAAACAGTTAGCCTGGCTGAATCTAAAGACAAAACATTCCATCTGTCATTTCTAAAGATTACTAGTTAAACCAAAGTTTTAAAACCAACTACCTTTTAACAGGTTATGTTAGACGATGTATTGGAGGGGAGCAGAAACTTCCTTGAGTCTGAGCTGGTGGCATTGTGAAGAAACAAAAAAAATGAGCTTTTGAAATGTTTTAATTGTGTGTATTATAGGCTGTTTTATCACTAGTGGTTATAAGTGCACTCTTTGTGAGAGAAATAACCAGATCCTCACTTTGAAAGAGTACTTAAAACTAGCAAAAGATTATCACACCTTAAGCCATTTCTTATCAAAAATAATAAAAGCTTACCTTGCTGTGCTCTCACTCTTGTAGCTCGTAGATGAAGATGATGAGGTGCTGATGGCCTTAGTGAACATGGAGGGCAGTAAGCCCGGGAAGATTTGCGCCAGTTTTGAGGATCTGAAACGCCAGAGAAGAGAAGGAGATCAGAAGAAAGCCGAGGAGGATGCCAAGAAGAGACTGGAAGACGAAAAGAGGCTCTTCGCTGAGGCCCGTAAGAGTATGGTAAGCAAAAACAGTGTGATTTTTTAAAACTAATGATTAACAGTAAAAGGTAGTTTCTGGTGCCCATGCTGCGACTGAATTTGCTGCTGCTAAGCGGATGAACTGTCTCTGAAAACAGTCATATACACTTAATGCATGTTGTCGTGGCTTCCTTCCTTGTCTTTCCATCAAGCCACTACGCCTTAAACAGACAGTTCTAACTCGTTTCTTTCCTTTAAATTACTCACAGTTTGAAGTGTTGCTTGGCCTCCGATGGTTTAGAAGATGTTGCGATGTGTTTGCTCAAAATAAAATAACAAACTTTTGCACATGCAACAAAGAAAATAGGCCTTTACAATATTCAAAAGAAATAGGCAAAACTAAAATAAAACAACAAACAACTTAGGTATTCTTTCTTTCTTTCTTTCTTGATAATGCTTATAACTTCATAACTTAAAGGGTACTTGCACGATTTGTGTGTACGTATACGGGACGAGTACGGTTAAAAACTGTTCCTCGACGGCGTCTCTCAACAGGTTGCCCATCACAGTGGCTTTAGCACAGGCGCCGTGGGAATTGTAGTCCTTTATAGTGCGTTGACTACAGACGTCACAATTAGGTGGCCTTTCTTATAAAATCTAAATACTGGGTCTAACACATGTTATGCATGTCATGATTATAAATATATAGCATCTTTGAACAGAGCAATTGTGGTCTACATCACGCTATCCCCTATTTTAACTGTTCTCACTGATGGTCTAAATGTGATTTATGATTGGATTCTGGATGAGGAGGATGAAGGTGAATATTGTTCTGATCATGGGTTCAAATTGTATTCCCATATTGTTTTTTTTGGATACATGTTTTTTCAAATGTTATGTGCATCAATAAGAGTGGCTCCTGTGCTTGCTGGATCTTTTGGCATTATTAATTATTGGGCAAGTATTTAAACATGTGTTTGTTGTTTTGCTCCGTCACGGACATACAAGTTAATGCAGTTACTTCGCTCCCATTCAGAAATATATTCCTTTGTGTGTACTTGTATGTGTATAGGTAGTGGATGAGGAAGAAGGGATGGTGAAGAGTGAATCTCAGGAAGCACTGCACCCTGGAAAACTGGAGATGAACTTTGAAGAGCTACTGAAGGGGAAGGAGGAAGCTGAGAGGAGGCGCAAGGCAGATGAACGCAAAAGGAAAATGGAGCAGGAGAAGCAGGAATTCGAACTACTCAGACAAGAGATGGGCAAGGTCAGTCCGGAACAGATGAATTTAGACCGCTTTAAAATATTATCAACCACTTATTGTTGACTTTAAGAGCTATAATTTTTCTGCAACCACGAATGTAACTGCATTCTCAAATAAATTGCCTTCCGTCTCACAGGACGAAGTGAACGAGAGCTCAGATGTTGTAAGCAAAGAGTATCAAGAACTAACCAAGCTCAAGAGGACTGGCTCCATCCAGGCCAAGAACCTCAAGTCCAAATTTGAGAAGATCAAACAGCTGACTGAAGAGGACATTCAGAAAAAGATTGACATGGAGAGAGCACGGAGGAAGGCTGTTGATGAAGAAATAAAAGAGAGAGAAACTGAGAGGTTCCAGGAGGTAAGAGATACAGGGATGGGACAATAAGTCAAGAAGCCACTAACAACATTTGGAGTCTTATTTGTTATAGAATACAAAAAAAAGTGTTCTCCCTAATTTTCTTTTTTTATATCAATGGGGGATATTTTCAGTATAACATTTGATAACTGTTTTCAGGAGGATGAAGGAGGAGAAACATCTGCAGTGAAGGTCGATGAATCACCATTCAAACAGAAAGTGGATATGAAGGCTAGATTTCAACAAATGGCCAAAGCCAGAGAGGATGAGGAGAAGAGGAGGATAGAGGAGCAGAAGCTGCAGAGGATGCAGTTTGAGCAGCAAGAGATCGATGCTGCACTCCAAAAAGTAATCTTGGAAACTTAATGGATTTATGCAAAATGATTTTGTTAAGCATGAAAACAAAGCAAGAGTTTCATTGAAGTTGCCTTGACCCCAACAACGTTGTTTTTCTGTTTGCAGAAGAAGGAGGATGATGTGGAGGAGGAGGGCAGCATCATTAATGGCTCTGCGGCTTATGAAGATGAAGAGGATCACGCCAGATCGGGGGCTCCATGGTTTAAAAAGCCCCTTAAAAACCAATCAGTGGTGGACTCGGAGCCGGTTCGGTTCAGCGTCAAGATCACCGGGGAGCCCAAGCCGGAGGTGACCTGGTGGTTTGAGGGAGAGATGCTCCAGGACTGTGAGGACTATCAGTATATAGAGAGAGGAGAGACGTCCTGCCTGTACCTGCCCGAGACCTTCCCTGAGGACGAGGGAGAGTACATGTGCAAGGCTGTGAACAGCAGAGGCACAGCAGCAAGTACCTGCATCCTCACAATAGAAAGTAAGACCACCTTGGTGTGACTGCATGCCTGCATGAAACCTGCTATCTGGATTTCAACTTCTTTCTATAACGTGGATCGCATGCTCCTCTTCCGTGAACTCAGACAGGTGTGGATAACTGCTCTTCTGTTTCTGTTTTGCAGCTTATGACTACTGATGCCCTTCCATGTTCTGGAAACTTTCCCTGTTGTCTCTCACTCCTTTTGTAAAACTTTCTCCCTCATAGTAAGGTCAAACAGCAGAGGGAAGGAAATAGCAGTATGCTTGGCATTCCTAAGGGAGGGATACACAACACAAAAAAAGCGACATGTTGTTTACGTTTGTAAAGCTGCACTCCCTGTAGAGTAGGATGATACTTGTGCCAAAAACCGACACGATTCTTGTTCCCATGTCAAGGGGAGGCCCTTACAATATTTATAAGATCCAGGAATTAAAGTATCATAGTATTGTAAATATCACACTTTATAGAACATCCATGCAAACATTGTGTTGAGGCATTGAAATGTAAAAAGTAAGACGTTCTTGTGTACGAATTTTAAAGGACAAGGTATGGGAATATCAGTAAAAGTAATTTGGCTTGGGTGTTCTACTACAACTTCATCAAAACTAATATGTCATGTCATATTAGTGGACACATGGAAAACCCCAGTGAAGGGTCTACCGACAATGATATTGCTGATCAAACCAATGAGAACTTGTGTTCTTCCTGATATGTGTTTAAACTATTTAGGTCCAGTTTGAATGTTTTTAAATTGCAGCATCTTAAAAAAAAAGAAATCTTGATTTTTCATGCAACAACCCCTTTTTTTTTTTGAGTCTGAATCGAGTTGAATCTTGAAACAGTTGTCATAAATCAGTTGTGCTTGACAGTAGGTAACCGTTTTATGGTTTGATAATGAAAAATGAATATGCTAGCCTGAATATTTGTCATTTAATATGAATTAAAATGTTTTAATAAAATGAACAGAAATATCAGATTGTTTGTGGTGTCTTTTCCTATCGCATGGGGAAGACTTGGATAAGTACTACTACCTAATGCCTGCATTGTTGTATATTTTTCTTACTTAAAGTATTAAAGTGAGTATAACCCACGTATACATTATCTTAATTTTCTAGATCTTATAAGTGGCCAAAATTGAAATTGAATGTCATATGATGCAACTGGGATGTACAGTATTTATTTGTTTATGCATATTATCAGAATCAGAATCAGAAACCGGTTTATTACCAGGTAAATTGACATGTATACAAGGAATTTGACTTGGTGTTAAAAAAAACAAAAACAAAAATATAAAACTGTAAAAAGAAAACAATAATAACTTTAAATATATAAATAACTGGAATTCACATTTTCCTCACTTTGTATAGTAAAAATTAGTAGATTAATCCAGACTATAATTGGCAGCACTACTGCCGATTGTGAGATCATATTCCGCATTTCGTTTTACTAGAAAAAAGTGTGGTTTTTGCCATTTTTTGCATAAGGACTTTGTCTCAAAAGTTGTTAACAACTTTATTGCTTTATTTTGAGCCCATATTATATTCTCCTGATATATTATATATTTTATTTCTCAAATTCCTACTGAGGACGTTGCTTTAACTATGAAGTGACAGATGCTGTTGGTACCTGTACATGTGGATATGTAAATTGTAATCCCTGTAAATGTTGCTGGATATGTCCTTTTGTTGTTCTGTTGTTTATGTTTTAACTTTTTATGTCTTCATGTGGAACCTACTGCTGCAGGTCTCCCTTGAAAAAGAGATCATTGATCTCAATGGGATTTCACCTGGATAAATAAAGGTTTTGAATTGAATTGAATTGAGTTTAGGAACCACTGGACCTCCCTTGACGAAAGGAGAGGAGAAAATGCTGCCCCACAATGCCTTGCAGCCGCAGCATTTGCCGTCACACAACAGTCGGCCGTTCACGGAAACAACCGATTATGACTGAGAAATGATATCATGAAAGTTACCGTGCTTATTAAGTTTTTTGAAATGTATGTGGTAAGTTGCCAAAGTGCTTTGTTTTGAACGTTCATCAGTATTATAATCACAAAGAGAAATATGAACATTAGTTTTTACTGAAATGATCAAATAAAGTCAATATTTCATTAAAAAAAAATGTATAAAATTAAAATATTTTTTAATGACAATCTAGAATGTGGGAAGAGGTGGGGCGGCACCCCTAGCGCCCCTGATATTCACCTAATTTTAGTGCAGGGGACGACAATATATATTGGGGTCCTGAAGTAATGGGCCATTGTATAGGAAATGTTGTTTAAATGCATGTCTTCTTTCATTGACTTTGTCAGGATTGGGACAAGGCAGAGAACATTCCCGACCCCGACGCTAAGAAGCCCGAAGACTGGGACGAAGAGATAGACGGGGAGTGGGAGCCGCCCATTGTTGCTAACCCTGAATACAAGGTAACAGAAACAAACTTAAAAGCCACTATCCGCTAAGCTAAAGGCGGCTAATGTTGGGCTATAAAGGAACTACAGCATGGTCACATGACTTCACATCACCACAGCTAAGCTAAAGGCAGCTAATGTTGGGCTTTAAAGGAACTACAGCATGGTGACATGACTTCACATCACCACAGCTAAGCTAAAGGCAGCTAATGTTGGGCTATAAACATGACTTCACTTCACCACCGCTAAGCTGAAGGTGGCTAGTGTTGGGCTTTAAAGGAACTACAGCATGGTGACATGAATTCAAGTCACCACCGCTATGCTAAAGGCGGCTAATGTTGGGCTATAAAGGAACTATAGGCTTCTCAATTCTCTAATTTCCCCTCCTCGACTCCTATCCTCATGTCTTAGTCCCGCCCACAGGAGATGCGAGCGGAGGAGTCGAGGAGGGGAACCGAGGAGAGAGGAGTGGAAGCAGCAGCCTCCCTCTCTGGTCGCTGAAATGGGGAATTGAAATGACAGGCCAAAAGTTGTATTTACAAGTATTAAAAGTAAGCATAGGATACCAAACCAACTGAGACCTGTCTGTCCGCCGCATGTACAACACACACACACTGTAGCTACAACACACACCTACACACTGTACAACACGCACCTACAGCTCCTAAAGCATATATAATATATCAGGATACAGCCGTTGTGTATTTTATTATGTGAAACACTAAATGGTTTTAGAAAAATATCGACTCTCTGTTTGTATCTACGACTAAACTAAAGCATACAAATAAAGAGAGTAATGTAGGCCTGTTATAATGAGTGATATATATTATACACACTGCTCTGCTTTCTGCACGGACCTCACAGCTGTTCTCACTGTAAACATCGCGTCGCAATGAAAGCAGTTAATAAAATAATATCCAGGGGATGCATGCAGAGCTGTCATTGGCTGAGATAAGTCGGGCCGTGCGTCACGTCTCTTTGAAACATCACTGTTGCCGGAAATACATCCGTGGAGGAGCCGTGGAGGAACCATCAGTGTANATATACTAATAAAGGGCTGGCTTTTTAAATGCCAGTTGAGTAGCACTTGAAATGTTTGGCTCTATGAAACCTGATGTACTTATATGATTCTGTTTTCTTAAAGGTTGTATCTTCCTGGTCGAATGCACTTATTGTAAGTCGCTTTGGATAAAAGCGTCAGCTAAATGCAATGTAATGTAATGTAATGTAATGTAAAAAAACTGTTTCTTATTAATATCTAAATCTGATCTCACCCAGTTAATTCAACTATTGTATCTATACGATCACTCAGTATTTGTATGCATACAATCACAACGTTTTAGCCGTTTCTCTCTTAAACTTCACAAGCAATGAATACATTTCAGAATTTCAGAGCTTTGACTATAACAAGAAAATAATAGCAACCCCTATACAGAACAGGTGCCCTGTAGAAAGAGCACACCACACTCTTAACAAGTCACTTTAAAGGCACACAGTGAGAGAAAATACCTTTTTATCTTCAAACGTTTAAAGTTTGATTACATAAAAAATATATAATTTGGTCTGAAATGGTCTAATGCCTTGTGTCTTTCCTATGTGTGCAGTATTCAAAATCATAATGTCAGCCCTCTCAGCTAACAGGCATTGGCATAGGCTAAACATACTTTTGAATTAGTGGCTTAATGACAACCCAGAGAGACTGTTAATAGTAGCGTTATCCATGAATGACCACAATCTCTACAACAATTACTATATACTGTAATTGTGCAGCACTCAACTGTTGGTCACATGCACTGGCATAACATAATTAAGACTTTCATGTTACTGTCCTTGCCTTAATCTGCAGAAACCATGTGGGAAAATGCGTAGTTGCCCTCTCGACTGTTAAACAAATTGAACCATAGTGTACATTTTTCTTTAGAGACACCCTTTTAAGTTCCTTCCTGTCATTGTTTTAAGTGTGTGTTTGTGCAGGATTAAATGATCTGTCACTGCCCCCTAGTGAAAACACAGACAGGTGCCTCTCACGATAAAAATCCTGACTTTGCTGTTGCAGCATTTAATTATGTGCTTGAAGATCCCTTTGTTAACAACCACATATAAATACACATTCCATATATTATAGTTAACTCTCTCTCTTTTGTTTTTATTAAAGTAGCCTGAACAACTGAATATGAACTGGGTAATAAGATAAATAGATATTTACATCTGTTCATCACATTACAGCGTGGTCAGTGCATGTCAGTGTGCAACAACCTATTATCAAGTCATGCAAAATGAATTTAGATCAGGTGACTGATCTCTTCTCAGGTGCCTGATCTCTTCTCATGCAAACTGTAGAGTCACGCAAGCATGACATATGAAATTATTGGAGATACACACGCACACACACACACACACACACACACACACACACACACACACACACACACACACACACACTTATTTCGGTATTAAGTAATTGAGAGCTCATCCTCCTTTTTGAGAACAATGGTGAT